TTGCGGTACTCCGTAGTATTGAAGCAGTTTCCAAATTACTTCTCGGTCGACGCTGTCAAAGACCTTCTCAAAGTCGATGAAGTTGAGGTGGAGAGGTGATTGCCATTCTATGCTCTGTTCTATGATGATGCGAAGCGGCTTGCAATTTGGTCTGCACATGATTTGTACTTCCTGAAGCCTGCCTGTTCCGGTCGCAGTTTTGAATCCAGTGCATCTTTAAGCCTCTCCAGGATGATGCGGCTTAATATTTTACTTGGGGTGGACAGGAGAGTGATTCCGCGCCAGTTCTTGCAAGCACTGAGGTCTCCCTTCTTCGGCAGTTTGACAAGGTAACCCTTCTTCCAATCGTCAGGTACCTTCTCTTCCTTCCACACCTTCTGCAATAGTGGTGTGAGCATGTCCGCTGTTGTCTCTGCATCTGTTCTCAGTGCTTCTGGCGGTATTCCATCTGGTCCTGCTGCTTTCCCGCATTTCAGTAGCTTTATGGCGTTCAGGACTTCCATTTTCGTTGGGGGATTTATGTTCACTTGTAATTCAGCGGCTGCAGGTGGTATTTCTGGACGAAGTGCAGGTGGTGGTCGATTCAAGAGCTTCTTGAAGTGGTCGGCCCATCGTTTCCTCTGTTTCTCTTCTTTTGTAATTAAATTTCCTTCTTCATCTTTTATTGGTTTCATCTGTGTTGGTCTCTTCCCTGATAGCAACCTGGTTATTTGATACAATGTCGTCAGGTCTCTGTCTCTCTTACCTGCAGCCTGTTCTGCTTCACTTGCCAGTGTTTGTCTTTGCGTGCATGCACTCTTCTTCACTTCTTTGTCCAGTGTTTTATACATTGTGCTCAGTTCCTCTTGTCGTTGAGCATCCTTGCACTGGTTTATCTTCTGCTTCACCATCCTCCTCTCCTCTATCAGCTTCCAGGTATCCGTCGAGATCCATTCCTTGTCTTCTTTCTTCTTCCTTCCTAATACTGTTGTGCAGGTTTCTTTCCACATAGCTTTCAAAGACTTCCAGTGTTCTTCTACACAGGTTTCTTCAGGGATGTTGCTCGATGTCTCCCATTTTGTCTTGATGGCTGCCTTGAAGATCTCCTTTGTAGTTTCATCCTTCAGTTTCCGAGTGTTGTACTTGAATTGAGGTCTATCACCAGCTTCCTTGAAGGCTTTCAACTTGATTTCGAAGGTTCCTTGCACTAGATAGTGGTCTGAACCTACATCTGCTCCTCTTCTTGACCTTGTGTTAAGTAGACTGCGTCTCCATTTTCTTGAGATTGAGATAAAGTCGATTTGATTTTTAGTGTGTCCATCTGGTGAAGTCCATGTCGCTTTGTGGATATCCTTGTGCTTGAACACACTGCCTCCAATCACCAAATCGTTGAATGTACAGAATTCTGCAAACAATTCTCCATTCTCATTCATTTCACCTAGCTCCTCTCGACCCATGGTTAGTTCTCTTCCCGTGTTGTCCCCTCCCAGTTTGGCATTCATGTCGCCCATTAGAATTTTGATATCGCCAACTGCCGTCTTGTCCAGTGTTGATTGAAGTTGTCTGTAGAAATCCTCCTTTTTCTCTTGCTCTGCATTATTTGTAGGTGCATAACATTGTATGATTGTGACCTTCCTTCCTTTTGAGTTGAATCTTGCTGTCATGATCTGATCCTGGAGGAGATTGGTTCCCACTGCATGAGAGCCTTCGATGCTCTTGAGGACATCATGATAGCCACTCCATAACTCAGCGTGCTCGTGGTTGTCGTCTGGGTGACAATATCGGAGTAGATTATTGATTCTCCAGTTGACAGTTTAGAGAGTCCACTCCCATTCCATCTGCTTTCGCAAATCCCAAGCAATTCAATGTGATACCTTCTCATCTCCTTTGCAATCTGGGCTGCCTTACTCGGTTCAAACATCGTGCGGACATTCCATGTCCCCACGTTTACTTTCGCTTTCATCGAGAGAAGACACATCGGCCAATTGGCTTCCCGAAGGCTTTCACCAACTGGCGTCATTTCGCCTCTCCGATTCCAGCGGGGAATAAGTTTGTTTTCATTTTTTATATTTTGTTTGTGCTTTGAAGTTTCTTTAGCGGTTAGATTTGTTTTACGGGGTAGGGTTGCTAGCCCTATGCCCAACCTACCCTCTTTACCCGGGCTTAGGACCGGCTAGTAACTAGTAAACTAGTTAACCAGGCGAGGTTAAAAGAATGTTTTACAGGGAGTTTAATGAGTTTGTTAATTTGTATTAATAAGCAATAGCCAACTAGGCAATTAGAAGTAATTAGACGCATCCTCTAAGGCTTATAAAAGAAAGTAAACATGAGTAGAACTTCTTTTTGTCATGAAACATATTTTTCTTCTCATCAGCAAACTTCGATTTCGCTCTTTCATGATAGAAATAAAAAATAAAAATGAACATAGGTGTTTTTCATGGGATATAATAGAATAAGCAGAGATTTTATGGGTACGTAGTATTTACTGTGAACGAGAAAACTAGCTAATGCCTAATCATGACAATATAAATATGCTCTAAACTGACCTGGATAGGGATCATCAGAGAACATTTACGTCGGATTATTGAAATTATGAAACTGCTTTATCTAAATCGACAATTAACGACTATTAATTTACACGAAGTGACTAAATTTAGACTTCATGGAAATACGGTTTTACATGGACCTACCAATCGACCTTTTTATACAACAGTTGCTAAATTGAACCAATTTTAGCAGTAATGTTCCAGGAAAAACAGCATACCTGGGAAATCAGACTGTCAGGGCATACACAGCTAACGATACTAGGAAGCAGTGGAACATAAAAGTTATTTTTCATCGGAGCTGATAATAAGTGGTGAAACAGAAAGATTTGTTAAACTAAGTCTACTAAGCATTAGCTAGAATCTTCTTTGTGCAACATTACTGTCATCAAATAAGTATTTTAACAGAGAAAATACATACCTGTTTGACAATTTGAATATACTCAACTGACTTTGGAAATGCTAAGAATAATTACAAAACAGTATGTCTAATAAAATTAAACCGATATTCGTAGCTGATTGACATTAATTGAAAGTCCACTGAAACTCCACTGAAAACCTTAGAGCACTGAACGGATGTTTCGTCCTGCAATAAGACTCCTTAGTAGCGTACACATAGGGTCTCTTAAGAGACCGAACCTAGGATATTTAGTTTTCACGGTGAGCATATTGATATTGAGCTGTTGGGTTCATATTTCTTTCCTTCTGTCAGTTCGTGATATATCGAAACCTTAATCCAATGCCGTCGTGGTGTACCTGTCCCTACTTACGACTTGGTGGACTCCACCGGTCACGACTTTTCCTTCTACGTTTCATCCATGGTAGGGTCATGAGTGCACACTATCAAACAGCCCATACAAGGAATAAACGGTTATCCAGTCCTCCTGGTTCCTCAGTGGTTCTTCAAATGCTGTCAATCCACGCTGAATACGAACTTGAAATAAATAAACTTATCCCCCACAAACTTCTACATGTAAATGTCTTTAAATTTCTAGTCCCTATTTACAATAAGTAACCCAAATATTGTGTATATTATGACTAGACACACTCATTTTACACCTGGAAGTACAACTTAAAACTGGTAATTGAACTTAGCTTTTTAAATGAGGTACCCTTCCTCCTCGTAACTTTTTTCAAAACATTTTCAAAGTCATTATGAAATTTTCATGTGCGAAAATCAGTATGGTCTACTACTTTAGCAGAACGTCTGGATGAAGTAACCCAAAAACTACTTCTGTTTTTTATGGCTATAATCCATCATATTGATAATAACATATCTGTTAAGAACGTTATCAACGCTGAGTTTGACTTGTTTGTCTCCATTTAAAAATTTATCGGTGACTAGACTGTCAACTTATAAATGCTTCTTACAACACAATTTTCAGTCATAGCAAGATTCAAAGGACAAGTTTCCAGTTTCGTGTCAACCTTAATTGTCAGCCCGAATCGTTAGTTAAATCACAAACTCAAACCTATTCACAAGCTATCAAAGATTCAAATCTACTGAATAGATAATAAATTGCATCAGAAAAGGTTAGAATTATTTCACCGTTTATATTCAAAGTTTGTCGTGGTTTTCAATCAATTTAAAATGGTTCATATAATCCGATAAACTTCAAACTCTCAAAGTATATTCTCGTAATTGAGTATTTTGTCCTAGGAATACTGAGTAATTACAATAAAAAACAAAACATATAAATAAATTAAATTGACTAACTTCTGAGCATGATTTGTCCACTCCTAACTTGAATTAATTTTATAAACATCTCATAATTAAATAAAATAATTATGCATTATTAAGGTGACGAAATTATTCCTCATAAACTTATGCTTAGTAAAATATTAAAGAACAATTAATGGTAGGATTTTTCATGTCTTCTCTAGCTTGTTTAGTAGACATAGTAAATATGGAAAAAATAATCATCACAAATAATATTTCATAAAACGTTACTGTCCTTGAAATTATAATAGTACTCTGGAAAACTTTGAAACTTGATCTGAAAGACATAATCATTCACTTTGGAATAAGTGAATGGTGAAATTTCTTGGTTATCTGAAAAATGTTTTGAAGTATTCTCACTTCTTTCCATTACTAGTGATTCAGCTAAAAAGAAGGTCTGGTTATCAGTCAATTTGCGCCAGAAACGTTCAGTTCTGATAATGTTTGCTTGACCTGTGGTATAATAATATACTTGTTTGTGATTGTTAGCAGCATTGACATTGAAACGTTTTCTAAGTTATTTGCCTTCCTCGTGAATGAATTATTTGTTTGAGCTCTGTTAAGTGAACTGAACTTCTAAATGAATCCAATCACCTATACTGTGTATTATCTAGTATACCTAATAACATATAACCCTATCGATTTCCTATTGCTTTCAATATAAATTTTGACAATGAAAATTCTTATACAATGTCTTTTTCAGTGATTGCAACAAGAAGTCAACTCATCTCTCATCTTTTTTTTCTTCTTTTTTTCAGAAGAAGTAATTTTTGCAGCAACATGGCTTGGTTATTTTAATGCCTGCTTGAATTCTGTGGTTTATTCACTTTTAAATAACAAATTTCGTACTGCTTGCGCTAAGTTGTTGTGTGCATGGCACTATAACCGTGAACGACGACATCAGTATGGATTAGATCATTTGAAGCATTTTGGAGACACACCCATCCAATTAGCACTTGGTCGTGTTCCATGGCATAAAGAATGTGAGTACGTAAATCAAGCGCCAACATGAAAGTTTTTCTACAGAAAAAATGAATATATTTTTGCATTATCAAATATATACCCTCAGCATTACCACACCACCGAATCGATTCATAGTTTCAACTGTTTCACTGAACAAAGTCATCTGAAGTGCGACTGCTGATATTCTTCAGAAACCAAAACCTCTCCTGTGCATATATGGGCATATGCATTTTATCCTCTCCATCTCTAATGTGATTACAAATGTACATATCAGACTTGAAATATAAAATTCTTGCAAAGTGTATGTGAATTTTCCTATTTTCATTATTCTAGATTAACTTTACAGTATTCTTGAAATGTTATTAGACTTAAGGAACTTTCGAAAAGTCAAAATATAAGTACGATGAAATCATCAAATCATCTTCAATTTGTGGACTGAGTAACAACAACATGTTTAAGAAACCACTGTTAATTATCAAATTCCAGCACAGGAAAAATGTATAAATTTTGTGATTTTACAACCTGGAGAATGAAATTGCAGAAAAGAAACTGTCCACCGAAATACTTGTGCTTCTATCATATTTGTGAAAAAACTGGATAGGTATTCTGCCTGTTATGTGGCATATGGGTGCAAATGTTCAATCTGCAGGGTAGCTTGTTTGGCATAGGGCTAACAATGAAGTACATTTGTCCGTATGCATGCGGAATTAAAATCATATTCAGTGTGACTTTACAGTCAATGACAATTCGCAAATGTGATATGACAAATAAACTTTGTTTCAAGTGCACTAAGCACCTAAGATCTTCAATTTATTATTTCTCTTATAAGTGTTTCAGATATGAGAATAACTATTAGTTTCAGATATAGAAAAACAGTTTGCAAGCCAGTAAAACTCTGATTAGTCTTGGGAAACGCTTGGTCTCACGCACAGCAGAATATAATAGCCTAATCTCGAGAAATGAAACGTTACTTGTGAAATAATTTCTTCATAGGTTTTATGACTAGTGATTACCATTCAAATTAAGGTGTAAGATCCTCTGTTGTTGGACCGACTTAATGAGTATTACTCGGAAAAGTGTATCGGTCCCTTATACCTCAGTTAAAGAAGAAATAAGCCAGGTTATTGTTATTTTTAAGGTTGAGAGAAATTTTAAACATATGTAAGAAAAGTCATGATTAAGGAGATTGGTAACTTGTTTATCACCCTCGAGGACTGTAAGCATAATTTGGTAAAACGATAAAAGTACACTAGAAATAAAGGAATATTTAAAATAGTTTGAAAGGAATACATGAGAGATGATAAGATAGAGAGAGGACTGTTCTAACTTGAAAAGTTAGTCCCCTAACCTGAAAACTAACTTACTAAATTAGATATCGCTTTCATTGTCCAGTTATGACTAGATTTACCATCTCTGATACCCAGTGCCTTTCAATGATCAACTGAATGAAACTTTTAAGCACATCAAAGACCTTCAAACTACTTTGCAAATTTCACACTGGTTTTCTTTATGGACCGACATCAGTTAGACACAGTAAAAATATAAGATTACTTAGCATTTGTTCATTCCAGATCCAGACTTTTTAGAAGTGCACACACGTAGCCCTATGTGCGGTTGGACTCAAAACCGTCAAAATTATCAGTGATTATGGTAACTCTTAGTAGTTGGGTTGCAGTCAAATGGCTCAGATTTTCTGACTTCAGTTATATAGTGGACAATTAGATGTCAAACTAATTGCTCAATGGTAATGTTATCTCTGTGAGCATTAACGATCCTTGGTTCAAAATCCTGTAAAATCCTGGGCATACAGTGCTGAAGAGGCCTAATCCAGAACGATACAGTTTCATTCAGTTCTCCGGTTGGTGTCGATGCATGGTTGACTCCCCACAAGCCTCTGCTGTGAATTTAGAGGATCTCGTAAAAGGTTTTTTCATAAACGCATAAGCTGTCGGCATGATTGGACCTACTAATCAATCACTGTTACCACCAGTTAGATTACTGCAGCTCACTTGGATCTTCATCTTTATTACGAGTCAACAATGCACGGCATAAGAAAGCACTGAACAACCTAGCCAATTCTTTCCTTACCTGCTCAATGCAACTAGATGATGAATATTAGCACCTTTGAAATCTGTAAACACAGTAAGTATTGTATTAAACGTGATTACTGAGATCACTAATGTAGTAACTTTCAAGCAAACTGTTATATGAAAACAATACAGGTAGTTATCTTGACCACATAGACATGACGTAATCTACTTTACTCTTATGTAGCGACGAATTATGTAGTGGTGCCGAAGTCTGAAGGTATTACGACATTCTCAGCAGTATGCCATCCACCGTTTGTACTGTCTCAAAAGGTTAAACAGACTCTTATTCATGGAGATGATGATTGACAGTGAAATGAAAACTTTCATCACAACAGGTTACTAACCACCGGTTTTTGGAATACTGACCCACTGCCCTACCAACCGTAGTAGGACCACTAGCTACTGATTGAAACCTAAATCCATCATACACTCCATTTATTTCATCTAAAATAACAAAATGAATGAATATTGATCAAATCATAACTGAAGCATATGAAACCTGATTATGACAGCAAGTTAGAGGAGCCTCCTTAGCGTAGCACTATCATCTTTATGAGGACCAATATTAAAGCTGAAAACATTCCATGCTATACCACGAACGTGCACTTTTGCTGCAAAGGCATACAGAAGATTAAAAAAGCAAAATATGATGAAATAGACTGCAATTATTTTGTATTTGATGATGATTGGTACGCTTGCTCGCAGGAATGTCAAGAAGGGATGTTCCACTGACGAACGCGAAACGGACAAGTATACCTCACAACACAGAAACTGGCAAAAAACCTAGAAGGCTAATAATCTTTCATTATTACATGTAATACGCATTCTCATCGATAAAAGTTGGATTTATGACTGGTACTTTTACTGTTCAGAAAAGCGCACACGTTCACATTATCGCTGATGTAACTTTATATATATAATATATAAGATAAATGCTAGAATAAACACTGAATGTATTCATTTTTAACTTGATTCTTCACATTGAGCAACTATTCTCAACCTGACTAACATTCGAAGTACCTCAGACAAACATGGTAACAAGGTGAAAATAAAAATAGCCTGAATGAAGTAATGTTTTAAACCAGTAATCTGAACTAAAAATAAAATTCGGTTGCCCGAGAAACAAAAGTTAATCCCTAGGCCTTACAAAACTGTGACTAATCTACGTTTATAACTGATGGAACAAAAGTTATAGTAGTTCCATATTAGATTTGTTTATTTGATATAAAGCGCACAGTGATACAGTATTATTTAATTGATTACGTTTCGAGCATAAATTATTGCTCATAATCATCACATCAATGTAATCACACACAAGTTTCGATATCTGATTTTATAGTCCTGTCACCTGATCTCTCTTTGTTTTTTTGTTTTTTGATTGGTAGTAAAGTTTTCCATATCTCTGGTATAGGTGTTGCGTCATTCCTATTACATGTGTTGGGTGTGGATTCGATGAACATCAGAAACCATACGTAGGATTCTCAACAAGGTTGGAATTAGGGTGGCATTTAAACCAACAAACTCACTTAGAGGTAAGCTTTGTCGGCTAAAAGATCCGATAGAACCGATTAAGCAAAATAATATAATCTACCAAATTCCATGTAATGACTGTGAAGTCAAATACATAGGTCAAACTAGCCGGTCGGGGTCAGTTAGATTAACAGAACATAGGAATTTAGCTAAACATAGAACGACAGACCCCAATAAGATCAATAACCTAGAAAAACACTCAGCCATTGCATTACATTCATTAACACACAACCACACAATAGGATGGGACAAAACCACTGTACTTAAGTCTAATATAGCTAGGTGGAGAGAGAGATTAATTACTGAATCTTTGTTCATCGAATCCACACCCAACACATGTAATAGGAATGACGCAACACCTATACCAGAGATATGGAAAACTTTACTACCAATCAAAAAACAAAAAAACAAAGAGAGATCAGGTGACAGGACTATAAAATCAGATATCGAAACTTGTGTGTGATTACATTGATGTGATGATTATGAGCAATAATTTATGCTCGAAACGTAATCAATTAAATAATACTGTATCACTGTGCGCTTTATATCAAATAAACAAATCTAATATGGAACTACATTCTACCACAGTGCCCAAGTTTTTCACTTATATTAAAAGTTATAGTAGTTGAGATTTTGATGTACCATCACATAAACCATAAAAGCTACTGTGATATCTAGAAAGGTACTTGAGTAAACATCTGATTTCTGAATTGCTTTAAACTGAAATCTATAACTGTCAAGTGATTTGTTCCAGTCCAGTGTTTTTGATGCTGTTTATCTACTGATAGGCTCTGATAACTAAAAAATATATTCAAACTATTCAGGTGACAAACTCGAAGTTTGAAAATAACGATATATCTTTCACATTTTGACTGTCTTATAGAATGCATTATCACAGTACCATATAAACGAAGAAGCATTGAGCGTATTAAACAATAAGGTTAAGCTGCCTAACTTATTACATCATTTTTCGTGAATGCAAAATAATTTTTTATGCTTGGATGAGATTATACATATAAAAATAAACCGATACGAGAGCCAATACACAGTTTTCGCTTTAACAAAAAAATCGATCTAGTTATATGTAATAGTGACCTATTTTACTTCCATTGAATCCATTCTCCTCCTTTTTCCCACACCAAACGCTGGGGACTTTATAATAACCTCATACTTTTGTAATTCACAATATTGTTCACAAATTCATGATCACAAAGCTTTGATAGTGATATTATGTATATCAAAGTGAGTTCCTATAGTGCAAAATAGGAAGGCGTTTTTTGAAGATTATATTATATTTCAAAAGAGTTCTATCAACTGTATTAAAAGAAAGCAAATGAATTAACACGACATAATTCATGCGATAAAATCATAGAAAGAGGCATAAACGAAGAAGAGTTTCACACATGATAGATCAACCAAACTGGAATGAATGATAATAATGTAAGGCAGTTACACCATTTATATCAAAAGATCTACCTAATAAATCATGATCTTTCTTGCTTTGTTCAAGGTTTTCATCTAGATCTAATGCATTAAAATAAAGTACCCTGACTATAAAGAATTAGGCAAGGACAAAAAAGTAACGCAGTTTATGGAATCCTAGATATTGGGAAGGTAAAAATCTCAAACTGCATTCCAGAAAGACGGTTAGGTTAATTTATTTGTTTTGAAATAAAAGGTTCAAAGTTTGTAAAGTGGATGACAGATATGGAGGAAAAACAGTGCTTGCCAGCTGAGAGATTTTATAACGTGAGAAGTACTTTGGATCATAGGATCATGCTGCTCAGAACCTCAAGATTAGATTACCATCTACCTCACAAGTATTAG